CGTCTCACAACACCGCGTTACACACGGTGTTGCGTCAATTTAACGCGGACGATGGATAAAGAACCTGAACGCTTGCTGAAGACCTGGGCGCGGACTGAATGCGTGAACAGGACCTGGGCGCGCGAAATTTGACGGAAAGCTGAGAAATATATTTATTCGACGAGATACGAAATAACAACCTTCGATCTTCTATTGTATGACCTTTACATGATCTCTAATAAATCTTGGTGGAGCGATTTATTAGATTTCCCAAAACCTCTTGATCATCTTCTTCTAAGACCTAACGGTGCTAACCAAATTTTCTCTCGAAGAAGAATCTCTCTCTTTCTTTCTCGCTTGAAGAGGCCGAATTTCTCCAGCCCTTCGGGGAGAAAAAACGTGTAAAGCTTGCCAAGAGGTTAGGGGACCTAGTGTATTTATAGGGTACAATTGGGATCTAAAGGAGGTGCTAAATATGGGCTTATTCTTTAAGGTTTAGGAATCCTTATTATCTTCCATCTCCTTTTCTCATCTAGGATAATATTCCTAATAATTAATTACCTTCTAGAAGACTCCATAGTCTCCTAACCCCAGGTAATATTCTAGAAGGAATATTCTCATCCTTACAGAATTATGGAATATAATTAATTCCTAATTCTTAATCTTGGAATTAAATAATAAAACATTCCACTAGAGTAATATTATTGCTCTCCCCATTTAGTTCCGAACTACAATTAATTCGTTTCCACTGATTAAATATATTAATCCAATTGATCGATTTATCTCACCATGTTTAAGATATAACGTCTGCTGATTAATAAAATTACTGACAAAATAATTAATCAACTTCTTATTCATTTCCGAAACTAGTACCACTCATATCGTTAATCATTATGTCAGATAACATATCCGCCTGCAAGGCTTGACATAATATTCCTTCCTGAGCTCATTTCGTGGACGTCATCAACCCAGCGCACTGGGACACAGTGACTGTAAATAATTTATAACGGCACATCATATAAACACACATATTTACCAAATTACCGAGTATGTCATCCTAGCAAAATAGGAATCATCCTTGATAAATAAATAAATAAGTAATGAATAAATATGCCCATTTTATATTATCTTACAGCTTAAGAGTACGCATCAATTACTGAAGGTCTAGATTACAACAACGGTCAGTGAGTCTCATAATCTTATCCTTCCGTGGTCATGTTCAACACTTAACATAAGTGCTAGTGTAATCCTTAAGTCAAAGAACAACTGAATCAAGAATGCACTACAGTCTTTTTCCAAGTGGGGTCTCACTGCCAGTCTAGACTGTGAACGAATAGTTTAGTCTTATAAGGAACCGATAGGTGATCTTTCTGTTCGAAACTCTTCGAACCACACTACCTCAATATAAGACATTGAGTATGATTGCATAAATAAATAAACTACAAGAATATGTACTTTAACCGAAACATGATGGCCAGATCAAAATGGAATTGATAGAATCTGTAAATAGGAGCTTTTACAGCATACCTCTAACAGCAACAACTCAAAATTTTAACTAAAATTAATTCTAAATTAATTATCTTAACATGATTAACACATATTTTGATCCATGTAAATCCAATTGAAAATCAAATAGCTATGAACACCGACCCGGTGCTCTGATACCAGTGTTGGATTTTCGACGTACGAACCAAGTGTACGCGCAGCGGAATTTTAAATTTTTCTTACCAACAAGGAAGATCCGTCTATAGCTATTCGATATGATCCTAGATCGCGTGAATGATACAACGAAAACTTACCGTTGTTCTATGTCCTCGACTATGGTATCCACGCAATCCAGTTTCCCGATGCACGATCCAACGCCAATGAATCCTCTCCGGTGAAGAAGCTAGGAATCCTCGATCCGGAGAGCTAGAGAGTGTTTTGAGTTCTTACGGTGTATAATTTATTATCTGCTATCATCTAATGAAGAGATAATCACCTATTTATATAATTAGGTTAAACCTAATTATATTGGCAATAGGATAACCTATAGCTCAATAGGTAATTGGACCTAATCCAATTAATATTTTAATTAAATATTGATATGGGATATTATACCCACAAGGCTGAGCCGGTCTGTTAACCGGTCGAGGAGGTCATATTATGAGGAAGCCAAAGAAATCGAGCAATTAACTAGTCGACCAAACTATCCTTCGACCAGATACGCGATCGAGCAACTTATTCGACCTAAACAGGTCGATTACTCCGAGGACTTAACACCACGCTGTTCGGCCTAGTCATAGGCGCGTGAAGGAAGCCTCTGACAGAATTCCAGGAGAATATTTACCCCATGTGCAGGGGGACACGTGTCGAGAAAGCAGTGGTGGATAGCGATAACCACCTCTGACAGCCTACCCCATGTGCAGGAGGACACGCGTCCAAATAGGATTGGTGCAGGCGATAGTGGAGACGGCCGCCTCTGACACACGCGTTTGGTGTGTACGGACGGGCAGCTATGGCAGACAGCTCATCAAATCCGGGCAGCCCTAGGTCAGGTATCTCACCCCTATATAAAGGGG